TTTACTTGCTCAAGACAATATGAGGCGGCAAGGATCAACATTAGTCGGCCATACATCTAACATTTTATCCTACCTTATTTGCTTTGTTTTATTTCATACTTATTTCGTAATCTTTCGTGGTTTTATTTTGTGAAAAGTTATGTTTTTAATGGGGAAAATAAGACAAATGAGAGTGCTTGTTATGTTGTAAAATAAAACACAACACCTGACCTACATCTCCGTGCTTAACTGTGATATTCAGCGAGGTAATTGCAATTAGTGATAATATTAATAATAATATAATATATATCAAATTCTTTTCTTCACAATATGAATGTCAGTAACCAGTGGGTTAGGGTTAACCTTAATACTAAATGTCTATATTAAAAGAAAGAAAAAAACAGTAATATAAATATCTACAATAAAATATATATCTATTAATATATAACCATGAAATACATTTGGTAATAATATTAATGATAATAATAATGATAATATTAATAATAATTATTATTATAATAGTAATAATAATAATAAAACTTTTGAATCGGCTTTTATAAACTTATTAAGGGTTTGTTGTGTTTTGTATCTTAAYATTTTAGGTTTTGAAATTGTTGGTCGGCTTTTTTATAAAGCGTGCATCAAATCAATCATAGGAAAATTTAGAATCATAATAGAATTTAGAGTTTCATTGTTGCTTAACAATGAATATCGATGTTTTAAAATTTAGTCTCAATTATTTAATCAGCAAAGCTGCCAAAAAGCTCAATATCGATACATTCCATACCTTTCTTTGACATATCTTGAAATGCAACTTTAATATTTATTACTATCTAATTCTTAGAACACAAACGTTTTTCATATTTTAAAGATTTTAGTCCGTTTTATTTAGTTTTATTTAAGTTTTTTTAAATATTTATCTTCTCTGCTCTCTTTTCTTCTTGAGCGCTAAAATTATTCCGATTCTATCAATTGCACTTTTCGTTACGTTTTTCTTACATGATCATCATTTCAGTCTTCGCACAAATGGAATGAAATCTGTCACACGAAGTAGTGTTAGACGACCTCCACGGCTAACGACTGAAACAACCTCTTTTATGATCCGCTAAGACAGTGCACGGCTAACGATATATGCATTTGCTTCGTGCATCACATTTTCCGCAGTATTATTTCTTTATCTTCTTTAACGATTGAAAACTAAAATAGGTACATCCGAAACGAGAAGTATATTTAAATGACGAAATATTTCCTCCTATTGGCTAACTGCATTCTAAAAAGCATACAAACTCATAATAATATGACAAAAACATTATTTTTCAATTCCTGGCCAGGGAAAAGCTGCTTTTATCGTTAGTTGATTTTTTTTTTACCGGAATGAGTGTACTAATTAAACACATACTAAATCATAATCTTGACTTGCGGTTCCGGTCCTTCTGATCCTTAGGGATGTAACGATTCAACATACTTGAATTGGAATTATACCACTTTTTCTCTTATTTCCGTAAGGTATAGTTTATTGGAGTTATATTGACACGGCGCAATAATTTGCATAATGATCATTTCAATGCAAATAAAACAGTTTATTCAGAATGTAAAAAATTGTGGAAATAAAACTTTAAAAAAGCTTAAAAACAATTCTTGGTAGTCCTAGTCGGTCTGGCTTTAACACATGGGCGTAATTTTCGGAATTTTTACTTTTCTAGGCATGTAAAGAGAGGACTTACACAACAAAATATTGTAGTAAAAGGAACAAAAAAGACTACCCGTAAAGAATAATTAGCCCGCTATAAGGGTGATTACTATTAAATGCTAGCATTGAGAACTTGGATCGTCAAACAGTTGGTTTCCGCAGTACATTAAAACTTAACATAAAAATTGTATAAATGGACAGTCATTTTCGCTAAAAATTGAAAAATAAAAATATTTTAGACTTATGAAATTAAAAAAAATTCTTGTTATAAATTGAGTCTAGGCCGGACAGAGACGTTTCCATTTCCTTTTTTCTTTACAATGCTTGATCTACTTACTGACGTTTTGTATCAGTCTTATCTTTTCTGATATTCATTCACTTTAGATTTATCAAGGTGCACATTAGTCATCAAATATGCTTTCGACCTCGTATACAATGGATATACATGTATATGTTTTGTGGGCGCGGGGTTTTCGTTTCCCAGTGTATATATGTATATATTATGTATTGTTACTATTACTATTATTAACTGTGCATACAATACTCACTTCAGTCTGACGATAGACATTCTGTACTATGTCGCTGCGTTCCAAAGGAATAATAGTGATGAAATATGCCGATCTCCGATGATGTCACCATCGCTCACGTGCTACTTCATTAGCATAAGCTAAACTTCAAAGTACAAACTATGGGAATTCCTTATAGAAAGAATATCAATCATGTTTGATAGCATTCAAACGTTTGAGGGCATTCGGTTTAATCATGTTTTAAAGAAACGAATCAATCAAACGGTCACAATCAAATCGGTCTCCTTTGGCGGATAACAGCCTCGTACTGAGCTATTGAACGGCCCACCCTGGCTAAAGGAAGTCTACATTTACATTTACATCATTAATTTTGCGACTTGAAAGAAGACGTTCATTCCATTCTCGACTGGTTAGCTATCATCAGTAACAGCCAAGCTGTGACGGACATTACAGTCCCAGATGATTTATGTCAGGAGCAATAACGGTGACAGAGATTAATAATAACTGACTGGGACTGAACATAGAATAGAATAGAATAGAATAGAATAGAATAGAATACCTTTATTTAAACACGATAAAATTTAAAGCTAAAAGCTTGTGGGGTCGTGCATAAAATAAATTAAATAAATAAAATATAACTGTAAGTATGAATCTGTAAAAATATAGCTAATTAACTTAGATAACTTTAAATATCTTATATATAATTCTCACACACATTCACATACACAAACTGCGCAAGCTATTAGACCCGCCAGGGGCA